GCCCCTTCCCCTCCCCCCGCCTAAGGCTGAGGCCAAAGAAGGCCAGTCCAAGATATTTGGGGAGCACCCCAAGACTTTTTTTGCAGCCTGAGGTGGGAGAGCCACTGAACCCCCTTTTTCCACAATCTCCTCGGTAAAGGGGTCCTTTCAAAAGCCAACCTTTCGAATCAAGGAGGTTTTGTTTTTCATCCAACCCTTTGGCGTGATGAGGAAGACGAGGGGGGAGAGGTCGCTGGGCCCCGATCCGTGTCCCTTCACAGCGGGACCCTCACGGTTACCACCAGGACCGGCCGGCTGTGGCCTCGCGGTGGCGTGCAGAGTTCAAGGCGAGAGAGACGATCCTGCCAAAAGGTTTTGGACAGGGTGGCGCCTCTTAAACCTCATCCGTGCAGCCTTCTCCTGGAAGGGGATGTTAAGACAACAGCCCCGGCTTGAGCAGTTTCCAGCAGGTTCCCCCCCAACCCCCCCAACCCGATCTCTGGAAGCCGCCAAATCCCACCGAAGGCGAGACGGAGGGGCCTCCGACCGAGGCCACAGACGGGCCGCCCGTCCTGGGGAACCGACAAGGGGAACGTTTTCAGCCTGGCTTGGCTCCCCCCGGCGAGGGGGGCATCTGTCCAGATTGGGGTTCGCTCCCCCCCTTTCTCTGTGGTCCCAGGTTTGCAGGTTGCGACCAGGAGCTCACCTGGATGCTTGGAGGAGGGCTGCAAAAGGAGGAGAGCCCTTCCTTCCTTCCTTCGGTGGCTTTTACCTGGAAGCAGAGCTGAGGCAGGTGGAGGGTCCAGGCTGCCTGGGGGGCGGAAGGAGGGAACTGGGCCCCCGGAAGGGCCTGATCCAGATGCAGAGTCCCGGGTGCAGGACATGCCGGGGAGCCTGGGAAATTGGCCGACAGATCAAACAATCCTCCCTCTCCGGCAAGGGCCAGGGGGCTCTGCTCCAGGCTCAGCTGTAGGTCATGATCACAGGCCTTTCTGCCGTTTGCTCACGAGGAGCCCTTTACACAGGAGCCGCAGTGGTAACTGTGTGGCCGGGCGCCATCTCTCTTTGGAGCAAGAGAGATGTTGGGTGTGTGTGTGTGGAAAGGGTCTCCCTCAGTGGCTAAATGGCCTTCCTGTCCTGGGGGATTGTGGGAGTTGCGGTCCAGAAAACTCACTGGTGCCCAGTTAGGAAGTTGGACTGGGAACTGGGAAGTCTGGGCAGGGAATGGGGCTGTTATGATGCTGACTTGAGCCAGGGGCACTCAAAAGGGAGGGTGATTCATTCTCTGTAAAATAACGCCATCATCTGTCCTTGCCAACCGACCGATACATTCTGGGTCGAAGGAGGCATCTTGAACCGAAAACGACTTGGAAGCTGCTAAGAAAAGGAGCCCAAACAAGAAGGGGGAAAAGGGCCGTGGGACGAGCAGCCGCCACTCCGGTGTCCATAAAAAGGGCCGTCGTGGAAGTTTTGTCGGCTGCGAGGGCTTGGCAGGGACGCGGGGCTGAAAAGTGGAGCAGAAAGCGCTTCTTGGCCCCTGCCAGGCGGCTGCGCGACTGCCAGAGAGGGGGGAAGGCTGGCTTTTCCAAAAACCGCAGGCTGGGCCCCTCTTCTCCCAAAAGTATGCATGAGAAGCCCAGACCGCAAGAGGAAGGGCTGGCATCTGCACCTGGCGCAGGTAGCCGCCGGTGACCCTTGGGTGGCCTCACCTCCAGGCGGGGGAGACGGTCCGCCTTCCTTGGGGTCATCCACTCACACTCAGAAACGAGGGAAAACAGGAAAGGGAGAGGATGGGAGGTGTGTGTGTTTCTGGCAGCTCCCGGGTGCAAAAGGGCGACCGTCTAGGGAAGAGGCACTGCCTGGCTTGTCCGGCTGCGGCAGAGACGGCCGAGGTAGTCGCGCTCCGGGCTTTGCAGCCTCTTCCCACCGAAATAACCCGGAGGGCCAAATCAAAGAGCTCCTCGGCCTTGGTGGAGACGGGAGCACAGAAACTGCTGCCAAAGCAAGCCGGCTCTCTTGTTTTCGCTCCCGCTTCCCGAGGAAATTAAAAAACGCAGGGCGTTGAACCGCCAGAAAATGGGAAAGGGTGGTGAGGCCGCGTTTGGTCCCGGCACAGCGTGGGAGCTCAGCAAAAGGGTCCCATGAGCCCTGATCCCAGGCGCTGACACTCCCAAAAGGCATTACGCTATGCCTCCCACCTTCCCCACCAAAGAGGCTTTGGGGATGATGGTGCTGGTAGTCTGACCCCCATGGGGGAAGTAACTGTATTCCTTCGGCTTCCTCTCCCAAGACAAGCCGTCCTGATCGTGATGGGACGGCAGCTGCTAACACTGTGGCTTCTGTCGCCTGAGGCTCATGGGAACTGTAGTGCAACCGCATCTGGAGGAGCCTGCGCCTGGGACTACCTCTGCTGTCTCGGTCTCCCCACAACTATCTGCAATCTCCTTGAAGGACAGAGTGTGTGCATGGGCGGCCCCAACATTTGGACAAAAATTCTCATGCAGCCTTCCCCTTTGAGCAAGCTTGTGGAACTCTCTCCCACCAGATGGCCACAAATCTGAAGCCACCCTCTGCTCTCACAGAAGCAAAATGACAGGTGCTGCCCACAGACCTTTGCGTGGCTCAGAGAGGAAAACCTGTAAGCCTTTTTAAAAGGGGGGGGGTTGGTTCTGCAGTTGACCATCTTTGCTTCGGTGGGCATCCCTTTGGTCTAAACCTCTGCTGTTAAAAACCAGGCCTTGTTCTCCTGAATTTGGTCACCCAAGCTGGGGGGGTGGGGTGGGGTGGACAGCAGGAGAATCGTGCCAGCGCCTGAGCCTGGCAGCCATTGTTTAGGTTCGCCTAGGGCCCCCTGACCCTGTGATCTTAGGCCTGGCTTTTAAAACCGCTCTCTGCTTTTCTTTCCCCAGTGAACTCTGCTGACTGAAAAGGCGAGGGGGCGTGCGTGTTGTTAAAAGGGTCCCCAGATCAGCGGCTGGCTGTTTGTTTGGGATCCCTGCCCACCCTCTGGCTGGCTTGCCCAGCGCGCCACCCTCGAGGCTGCCGGGACTGTTTGCTTTAAAAGAGAGCGGGTGCCAGGTTCAGCGGGGCTGGCCGACGTTTCGTCCACGCCGAGGGGCCGGGATTATTCTTGGCCACTGGAGGAAACACACAGACACACACACTCAGCTCAGCCGTTCAGACAACAAGCAAATGGTTAGCTCACCGACGGAGCCTTTTTCTAGAAGAAAACCCGGATCTCTGCCTCCCACATTCCCACGTTGGAAGGCATGAGGTTTCCTCTTCCATCCCAGGCAGGACAAGGTCACCTTTCCTAAGAAGCCACCGGTGCCTTTTCTTTCCCTCAGCAGCGGTCCACTGCTCCGGATCCAATGCAAGCAGGTTGTAAAAGTCCTGGAGGAGTCAGTCATCAGAGCTCCAGAATTTCACACAGATTTAAAAATATATATGTATTTTCCTGCAGACTGCTTGGTTTCCCCCAAACTGGGACCTAAAGTATCTTTAAGGAAAAAAAAATATGCAAGCCTGCACCCCACCCCACCCCCGTGGGGCCCTTTGTATAGCCTGCGCCTCTGTGGGTGCCTCCCCCCACCCCCAAGGAAGGAGTCCAGATGATTTTGCTTGCTTCTCCCCAAATCCCTGTCCGAAAA